GGAAAATTAAAAGAAGAAAATAGAAAATTAAATTTGTATTATTCTCTCTAATAGACTTAGAAAAAGAATGAATTACAATTCTCTCAATGCAATCTCTCTCTAACAAACTTAGAAAAAGAAATTACAATTCCTCTCAATCAGTTTTCCGATTTACAAAAGCGAGAAAAATCGACGGAGATCCTTCCATTTGTTTAAAACTGGGTTCTTTATGGTATCGATGGAATTCCTCCATCGAACGTTCACGTCGAGTTTGCTTTCCATTAACGATCCGAGCATTTCACCTCGTGGAACACGATTCCTTCCTCTTGATTGATGTCGAGGAGAACTTGCGTGGCAAGTTTGAATAGAACTCTTAATGAGTTTGATAACTCAGAACGAGTTTAAAACTCAATAAAAAAGTTGATTTGAACCGAAAATCGGTTTTAAGCCAAGTACTAAAGCTCTTTTTTGCTGAAGAATGCTTTCGGTTGTAGAATACCAATTTTTTTCTTTAGAATTCCGATCAGAAAAGGATCTCTAGAAATTCTAAAAAAAGCCGATCAATTCCCCAGAAATTCCCCTCTAAAGAACCGGACCTCAATTAAGTTAAAATTTTAGCTATTTATAGGAGATTAAGGGGTGTAATCGCCTCCTTAATCCGCTCTTAAGTGGGGCGGAAATCCCTCAAATCGTGGGGAGAAAATGGTTTTTGGAACCGTTCAACTCGTATTTGAACGATTCAAACGCAGGTCCTACGTTGCTAGACACGAATTCTGCGTTCGAACGCAGCGTCTGGAAGCTGTGTTTGCAGCGTTTGGAAGCTTCTTTGCTAGCATTTGGAAGCTACATTGGCAGCATTTGGAAGCTGCATTAGCAGCTAGATTTGAGATGCGTTTGCGGCTGGGTTTGAGCTGCATTTGCGTCCGGATTTGAGCTGCGTTTGCAGCTAGATTACGTAGTGGTTGCGTTGTTTTGACTCTGGAACGCAGAGGCGAGCCTCAAGTGAGCTTGGCGAACTTCAAGCGAAGTCTAATGTTTAGGCGAAGTCCAGTCTTGCAGACAGACTTCAGAACATAACTTGGGTTTCAGAGATATATGTGTTTTGATTTGAAGTGGCCGTCAATTTGTAGTCTCTTTTGCTAGAGCGTTACAAAGATTGTCATCTTGTAATCTTCGTCTTGGCTCCTATAAAATATGAGAGTCATCAGATTGTAACTCCCGATGTTGATTGTGGAGGCTGTTGAACTAGAGCTTTTATCGGTTGTTGTGAAGATCGTCAGATTGTAAACTTTATCGATCTATGTTTGCGGAGAAAATCGTTTGATCCATTGCGGTGTTCATTACAAACTTCAGACGTTTACAACGAAAACAAAAATTAATCTTTTTATAAGACTTTTACACAATGAAAACAAAACAAAAGTACAATTCTCTTCAAACAGCGCAGAGATCGTTTATCGGTCTTCTGCTTGCGTGGGATCTTGGCCTGTGACGGGGACGTTGATATCCGTGGACCACCGTCGATCAGATCTGATTGCTAAAAAATTGGGCAGAGCTTCGTCGATTCGCGAAGGAATCAAGAAGCCGTAGCGCTTATCTCGGCAACAGCGAGATAATTGCTCTTCTTAAGATCACCACAACGGGGTAATCTTAAGGGACGAACACGAGAACTGCAGATCTGACAAGCTCTTCTTCTTTATGCCGACGAACTCGATCCGATCTCTCCTCCTCCTCTCTGAAATTCGTGCACCTTTAATCTTCAGTCCGGCAGGGCTTCGCCAACGCTCGAGAATTCCAGATCCAGAAAAATAAAGGTCCTGGGGCAGTATTTATAGGCTCTGGGGAATCCAGACGGTTAAAACTGCATAACAACAAAAAATCTAATTTTTAGGGCCCAGGACACCCTCGGGTGTCTCAGCGAGGCCAAGATACCTCGGGGTGTCTCGTTTGGGCCGAGACACCTCGGGGTGTCTTAGCTTAGGCTGAGACAGTCCGTTTTGCGTGCTTGTCCATTTCCGCTGTAACTTCTTCATCCGAACTCGGATTTGAGTGATTCAAAGTGCGTTGGAAAGCCGGCGAGGAGATCTATAAGCTTCGATGATTGG